AATCCCCAATATTTGGTAAAGCGGATAGAATCAGTGGAAGACGACGACTCTTGAATTCCCCCCTATTGTCCTCGAACCTTTTTATTATTCGCTCCGGCCCAGCTTTTAATTGGGCCTAACTTTTCGAGTCCATCTAGTTACGTTGCTTCCACGTATCGTAGATTGTTCTAAACGCTGCGTTTATGCTCTTGTATATATATGATTTGAAAATCATCTGTTTCAGACAAATAACTTTCTATTAGAGCTAACATTTTGAAACGTTAACTTTCTTCAAGGATTTTAATACTACAGTTGCCAATTAAACCCGAACTAACTGAAACGTGCAAGGAGAAGATGTTTTTTTTACATATTATAGCAAATCGACTTTATCATTTTGCTTCCTTCTCATTAAGGAAATTCTTCCCCCAAAAAAAGGATGCATCGCCTTTGAATGGCTATGTGTCTCTCACTTACAAAGCCACTGCGGACAGAAAGCTACGCCTACCAATCGATGAAGACGGTACGTTTTTCCACCCTTCACCTTCCTTGTAACATTCAACCTGTATAGACACACATGATAATCAAAGATTTAAACGATGTGATGATTATGTAAATGGTGGTGTTTGTTATTTCATTTCAAGTTCAGAACTAAATCGTACTGTGTCTAAGATGTCTTCTGCTTCCTCTTTGTATCCTCCGATGACATATATCGAGTCTTTAACCACTGCGGCTCCTGAATATCCTCTTAATTCTTTCATTGGTTCTCCATCTATCCATGTCCCTGTTCGTGGATCAAATATCTCAACACTCGGAACCATTGTCGATCCATCAAACCCGCCAATCGCATATCTGCAAATGAAGATAACCCTAAACATCTTAACCAAATTTTCTTTGTTAATTGTTAACGCAAACGCCAAATACAAAGAAAACGTTTTTCGTTTGCATTTTGCGTTAATACTTAATGAAAAGCTAAAAAAAATATTTATATTAGCATTTATAATCAGTAAAGCCTATATATTGTCTAGTAACTCATCTAAGTTTACCCTTGTGCTCGTTACTAAAGAAGTAGAAAAACAATAGGAGAGAAGAAACTTACAGTTTCTCGTTCAAAACAACAAGAGAATGGCAACCTCTTCCTGTCTTCATTGATGCAATTCTCATCCACGAGTGCTCTCTAGGATCAAACCTTTCAGCTGTGCTGTTAAAAGTAAGAGAAAGAGAGTTTCCGATAAACCCGTTCTTGTTAGCTTGGGGGGAAAAACAGAAGAGAAGGCTTCAATGTTCTTACTTCAGGTACTTGGTACCATCAAAACCACCAACAGCATAGATTGAACGGTTATGCTCGGCGGATGCAACTGCAAATCTCTGAGATCACAGAACAGTGAGATCAAAAGGACAAGGTATAATTTCGCTAAGGCTAATAGCCAATAGAGAAATCAAAAACTACATTTATAAGGTTATCCTTGAGACTCATTACTTGAAAAGTATACGTCAGCGAAATAGAGAAAACAGTTTTAACCATGGATTCTCATTATGAACTTATGTAGCTGCGAGCTTCTGTCTGCCCATTGGGGATCTAATAGACAACTTTTGGCTTTCATCATATGTCATGCGGATTGAGAAGAACGTTTACCTCCTGCTCCATCGATCTTGTTCTGATCCATTTTCCTATATCTGGATCAAGCGTCTCCACATCTGAAAAACATGCGTCTTTATTCCCGCCTCCGATTGCAAATATTTTCCCATTCAAAGAAGCTCCACCTAAACCTCCTTTTTGCTCCTTTAAGGGGGGGCACAAGCTCCACTGGCCATCAGTCTGGTTATATGATTCAACTTCAACAGAACCAAAAAAAGAAGAGGCAAAACAGAAATCAAAGGTCAGACTTAGTCATTTTGGCTAGGGAGAAAAGAAGCGACGAGTGGTAGACACTAAATTAAAACATCCACAGCTGACGTGAAGTGCATGACATCAATACACCTATTCGGTTTATTTTAGTAATTTACTGAAAATCACAGTAATATGCTTTTGCTAGCCATATTCGGTTTTTATAGTTCTTTTGGTAGTTTGTTAAGAAAAGGTTCACATATGTGTCGGCTCTAAGCCTCTAATACATTAAATAGTTAACACACTGTATTTTAAGAGAAAGAGAAAGAAACGAGTGGACCTACCTGTGTTGGACCAGCCATTGCCACCACCATCATCACCTCCAAAGATGTAAATTTTACCATCCAATTTTGCCACTGAAGCATTTGAACGGATATAGTTCATTGAACTATGAGCCTTTACAACATTCCTGGATGGAAAATATGATTGCACTGAGGACAACCATAATTCAGAGTCACCATCAAATCCTCCCAAAAGAAGAATTGCCTCTGTTGGATCTAAGCTTGAATCATCTGGTGAATGGATCTCCAGCATTTTGCAACGTGCTCTCAATCTATGAATTTCCTTGTGTGCTTCATCCTGAAATACAAAAAAAAAAAATCAAAAAGGAAAAGTGTCACGTTTCTCCACTACAAAATTGTGAGCTTAGAAGTTCTAAAAACGAGGGAAAGTGGTATAGAGTTGAACACAAGACTCAGAATGACAGAGAATCATTTCCAGTGATATGCTGATTTCACACATCTAAAACTTAATTATAGTGCACAAACTATGATAGTTCCGTGGAATATCATTTATTCCCCGTACCATTCACAAATACAAACAGAATTCCAGCAGGAAGGAAGAAAATCCACAATAACTTGCATAAAACAAATATACTTACCAGCTTCTCTTCCAAGTAACTTATCTTTGTTGAATTTTCCACCCTGTATGCCCTCAGTTCCTTCACCTCATGCATTAACTGCAAAAGAAATTAATGCAATATGATCTCACTGATTTTGATTCGCCCAAGAGACTATAATGTTTGTGAGAGGGAGTGAAAAGGCTCAGTCAACTGTAGATCATGAATGAGAAGAAGTTAGAAGAGGAGCGTAATTTTTTTCCCTTCAATATTATAGCTAATATTAGAAAGTGTTGACTTTAACAGATTTACACATAGACTTGTCTACGAAGCAACACTCCAAGTATTATAACTGAAGACCTAGTGTGTAGAAGTACCAATAATATGTAGATGCCAAAGTACCTGGCTTACTGTAGGTTGATGAGGAGATGATACAAGAGAACTGTCATCTGCTTTCACTTCTGAACATGATTCCTCTTCAAGTGTGTCTCTGTCTTCCAAGTTCTTGCAGGTGGGAATGTTGGCTTGTTCAACAGTTTCCATTAGACTATTGCCTCGATGCTCATGAATAAGGGAGATATCCTTCAGTTTCTCAAGAACATAGCCCTTATCCTTTTGTTTGGAGTTCTGTACGTCTGGATGATTTTCAGATATATCAGGATGAGAAGCAGCAGCTAAGGAGTCAAATTCCCTGCCAGAACCGAGAGATGCTTCCAAGCTATCCAATGGTTCACTCTTCGAAGGCTTAACTTTGTCACTAATCTCTTTTATTTCACTTGATGGAATCAAGTGAAAAACCTGTCTGTTGTGTGATGTACTAACGGGTGCTCTAGGTTTCACAGCAAAAGATGTTAGCAGACACATCAACTTATTTGTCTGAAAATGATCAAGCTCAAACCAAAAATGGTGAGAACTGTAGTAATTATCTTCAATTGCAGGTTTGAATTTGTCTTCAGAAAGGGGTTCACACTGTAACCGAACTCTGGTTTGAACCTTCAAAACCATAAAAGAGCATTACATATTTCATAAGAATTATACTGCTTAAGGAAAAGATTATAGCAAGTGTCATGCCTCCTGAAAAGCCATGTGTAATCCAATGTAATCGTAGAAAAACATATTGTGGAAGGTGATCACATCACCCTATAGTACCTGTGCAGGATATGAGGTTCTCTCAGAACCATTAGAGGTCCAGCCATAAGGGTCAATATTCAGCTGACCAGAACCAGCAGCCTCAAATATTCCATGAAGTTTACGATCAGAATAGTTGAAAAGAAACAACGGCAAACCTATATCAATCTTCTGCACGTACATAATGTGGTTATGGGGTAGACCTGTCAAAATCATCAGCGGATTCAGGAATCATATACATAATACTATAATAGACAGAAACAATAGTGCCAGCATGCTAACAAGAGTAGGAATGCGAGACTACATCCATCAAGTTGATAATTTCCATTATCAAAGACATAATAAGAGACACTACACACAGGAAACTGAATCATCGATACTAAAATGAGGAAATACAGTGAACAAACATAGAATTACGATTTTATCCAGTAGAAACAGAAACCAGCCTGGGAGTTTACTTAGAAGAAACACAGTAATAAAAAACGCTTCCAAGCATAAGGCTTTTCAAGAAGACTCACCAAACAAGTGTTTAGACATGCATTCTTTGATGGTGTTCTTTGTGGTGCCAAATACTACACCACCTAGTTGACTTTTCGTCAGGTTTCTGGTTGAAAATTTCCCCCTCCGTTGAGCCATCCTGTCATGCATTATGCAAAAGGTTAAGAATGCCAATGATTCCTAGTGTACAACTATTGATTCGGGTCCCATTCTCCCAACCTTCTAATCAAGACAGATGCAATCTCAATGGGACTTTCTACAGAACATAAAAAAAAAAAAGAGAGGAAAACCTTCAAACAGATGGTGTGCAGTATTAACACATTGACAAAAGGCAGCTTCAGATGAATGGAACACAGGAATTTCCATGATGACATTGAAAACACGAAACGCATATTTATGCAACTTAAGTCGACTAACCAAAAGAAAAGCTACATAGTTTTAACAAACAAAAATCCAACCAGAGATCAACAGATAATTCTCAAACAGAAGCGCAGATTTCAGATTAATAAGCAAATCATACAAAAGCAAAATCAAACATTACATCAAACTCCTCGAAAAAATCAATAGAACGCTAAGGACCATACGATGAGCTACTAGCGAGAAAATGCGTGAAAACGTTCAAAGGAAATCAAAATCCGAGGGTTTGGATTTCCGAATAATCGGACGAGCAAGGCTCGAAACCAGCTTTGAAATCGTAATCGGAGAAGAGACAAGCAGTACCGGAGAAATAAAACCCTAGGAGAAAGCAATAGACGACTACAATGCGAGACGGGACAATGATTGATCAACGAAAAGTTTTGGCGGTGCGTCTTACTTGAGTCGGACTCGGAGCGGTGAGAAATCGAAGAAGACGGAGCCTCGAAGAGAGCGCTAAAGGTAGAGAGAGAAGAAAGTTAGGGGCATGAGTGGAGTGATGGTAAATTGTGGGAAGACGATGAGCGACGGAAACTGAGCACCTAAAGCGACAAAAATTGAGAGCTAAACTGGAAATTTTAAATATATGTTTCTTTTTCCTTCAAACTCTTTAATAAACATTTTTCGTCAATTTTTTTCTAGCAATTCCAAGATATTAAATAGATTTAGTCATATTATTCCCAAAAATTGACTAACAACTTCTCTTTTTCAAATTTCCATTGTTAAACATAAATACAGATTAGTGTCAATTAATTTTCTAATGGGGTTTCCATGGTAAATTGTGGAGAAGAACATTTTATTATCTTACAAAAAGCGTGTCTAGATAAATCTCTTGGCTTGCAAACTTATA